AAATAAGAGTCGTACACGAACTGCAGACAATAAAAGGGGAGGGAGTACTTACATCCTGAAGCAACGGTCAATTGCGACCATGCCTTATGGTATGTAGTAGGGTCACTCCGCAGAGTGGCATCTTCCAAGTGCTCCGCATCGATCCAAGCCAGATTCAGCTTTCGGTTACATCGCATAGCCGAGTGCTCCAAAGCTTTGATCACAGAGAGGTAACTATCAGGAAGTGCGATGTACTTGCCAACCAGGGCAATGTTCACCGGCTCCAGATACGGCTTGGTAACGACCGTCTTCTTCCACAGCTTCCACAAACCTGCACCCTTGTCCACCATGGTCGGTGGAAGAGACAGCTGGTCTAGCATCAAAGCTTCACGCAGACGATGCAATAGGCCCTGGTCCTCGAGAAGAAGAGGCACCTGGTAGATGGTCTCTATATCTCGTACGGTGAGAACCTGCTCATATTCGACTTGGCAACTTCGGGCAATTTTCTGGGTTGTAACTTCATCGAGAGCGCGCTCGCATCGGCAAGCGATCTATGAGATATTAGTTACTAGATTTTCGACGGTATACGAATGACTGACCAAGTCCGGTATCAAACCTGCACTTCGCATCTGCTTGATTGCGTGCTGCGTGGGCTTCGTTTTCTCTTCTCCGTGGATTATAGGCACGTAAGAGACGTGGATGTTGACCAAGTTTCCTTTGCCAACTTTGTATCGGAACTGGGTCAATGCCTCGACAAAGGGCATACTCTCAATGTCACCAACTGTGCCGCCCTATAAAGCGAGTGTTAGAGTGGCCGGGTTTCTTACTGGGTTCCAAAATAGGGTGCGCATGGCTCCCCGGGGGAACATACCAGTTCAACTACAAAACAATGTCAGTCAGGACTCGGATATCTATCAACTATTAAGGACACATACTAATACAGACATCAGGCTCCTCGCCGCTGTCGTCAACTGGAATTCTGGCTACGCGCTGGATCCAGTCCTGAATAGCATCTGTGATATGAGGCACAACCTGGACAGTTCGGCCTATGTAGTCACCCTTTCGCTCCCTTTCAATTACTGCCCTAAATGGAGTATCATGTTAGCAGTGAGAAAGGTTGAGGTCGTAACGTGATATCACGAACTTGTAAATCTTGCCGGTAGTGATATTATTCTCATTGGTTAGGTTGAGGTTAAGATAGCGTTCGTAATTACCAAGATCAAGGTCGGATTCGCCTCCATCCTACAATTTCGTCAGTAAAAGGAAGATCCGAGACGATGTAGGGGTCGCATTAAAGGTTACCTTGAGAACGAAACACTCGCCATGTCTTCAGTGAGGAATTGATGTTAGCCCTGTAATATATATACCACCCAAGACACCTCACCTACTCGAGAGGTCCTAACGTGCCGGCATCCACGTTGAGGTAAGGATCAATCTTAATAGCCTAGGGACAAAGTAGTCAGTATAGAAACCCGAAGTCTGTGGAAAGGAATCAATTCTCATACCGTGACTTTCAATCCCGTCGTCTTGAGCAATAGCCCAGAGGAGGATGCTTGGATGTGTGTTAGTGGAAAGGAGAGGGCAAAAAAGAGCTCAATCCATTCTTGATCCGTTAAAACATACCTATTATACCTATAGATACTGGTTAGTCATTGGTTCTTGAAAAAGAAAACCAAAAATATTGGTAAATATCATGCGACAGACATGCGGAAGGAATAGGGGAAAATCAGATTTAAGAAAAATAGACCATACCCTTTCCAATGCCACTTATGACACCTCCACTAACCAGCACGTACTTCATCCTGCCGGCTCGAGATGCAAAGTCGGAAAAAATATATGTGGACGACAACTCGTGCCAGTAATAGGCAGAGTTGCTTTGGCGGGGTGAGAGGTGTGCAGCCCAAGTGGATAAATATTAATTTGTAATGCAAAATAGAAAGGCAAGTTAAGTAGGATCGTGATAGTTAATAAGTGTCCAATAAATCGAAGCTTGGTGAGTTGAAGATCCGAATTAAATAAAAGTCGCCTACCAAAAGAATAGAGAGAAAAAAAGTTTATTAACGTTCATGGTTATTAAACAGTACTGTACGCGGTATGACAACCCCACCAATTGATTAGATAACTTTATTCAATTTAGGAAGGCGGTGAAGCAACAGACCGTGAATCTTGAGCATTCAATTGCGTGCCTACCCTGCTACCTTAGGTACATATGTACGAAAGAAGGTACGTATCTGATGGCGGGGCACTTTTTTCCCTCGAAGGGTTGGAGGGGCAGGAGGGGCCTAAGAATTCATTTCAGATTTACCCATTACTCAACTGTGTCTGTCAATTGTGACTCAAAGCTTCCAATTCCAAGGTCGCAAACACAACCTTGAACTTAAACACAATTGCGCTGCAAATTGGAATTACTAATAAATTCACTCCCCTTCAAGACTAAAACGACGCATGAGAACGATACAATCAAGTTTTAGCAGTTGAGTATGGCGTCCTCAACAGTGAGCCCCTCCCCGGCGGGGGATCTCATCAGCCAAATCCTCGAGTCCCTCGACAAGTCCTCGCCGCTCCTCTCTGCCGAAGCCTTCCCAGCAGCTGGTTTCGTCGAGGTCAAAGCCGCTCTCGATCGTCTGGCCTCGCGCGACATGGTAACATACGATACCATAGAAAGAGAGGAGGCAATACTAGAACCAGAGGGAGAGCAGATCATAGCCAATGGTAGCCATGAAGCTCGTGTGTTTGAGGCATTGCGCTCCGCAGTCGATGGCCTCACCATTCAGGACCTGGAGAAAACCATCGGCGATAAGACGGTGGTCAAGGTTGGACAGGGAAAGGCATTCAAGGAGAAGTGGATTTCCAAGACGAAAGGTGTGTGATATCTGCTCTGGTAGTCTTGCCACGATATGCTAACCAGCATCTCTGCAGATGGCAAGTTCAAGGCCGCAACGGACTCGATCAGAGATGTCACCAAGGAGCAGATGCAAACCATCAAGGACACCCGAACATACCCTGATGCTAAACTACTTGCCGATTTAAAAAAGCGAAAGCTGGTCAAGATGCAGAAGATTATCAGCTTCAAAATTCACAAGGGAACTAAGTTCGCCCTCAAGATCCCCGAGGAGGCCACCGACCTGACTGCCGACATGATCACCAGTGGTTCGTGGAAGACAGCTACTTTCAAGCCTTACAATTTCAAAGCCTCGGGAGCCGACCAGCGATCAGGCGCATTACATCCCCTGAATAAGGTCCGCGCCGAGTTCAGACAAATTTTCTTCGAGATGGGTTTCGAAGAGATGCCAACTGACAAGTAAGCTTGAATCATGAAACAGATGGCCCGCGGTTTTGTTATTAATACATATATAACGTATCCAGGTTCGTCGAGTCCGGTTTCTGGAACTTCGATGCCCTCTTCGTACCACAGCAACACCCGGCGCGCGACCTTCAAGACACCGTATGTTATTTCGCGTACCTTGGTCACAGTACTTTCAAGACCTCTGACTTGACCATTGTAGTTCTACATCTCAGACCCCCAGGTCGCTGATCCGCCACGAGCAACATCGTCCGATGACGACAAAGACTACGATACATATTGGGACAACGTCAAAGCCGTTCATCAGGTATGTGATAGTTGCAGCTCTCTCCTTAGCAAATTCACATTGGGTTCCCCTTTCTGTCATACTCGTTTCCGAAACATAGGAGGGGATGCTGACAGCACTGGGACATAGAATGGCAAGTACGGATCGATTGGCTACCGATACCCTTGGTCGGGAGACGAATCGTTAAGATTGGTCCTGCGCACTCACACGACGGCGATCAGCGCGAATATGCTCCATAAACTAGCAGCGAGAAAAGGACCCGACGGACGGCCACCGCCAGCACGATACTTCTCTATTGACCGCGTTTTCCGTAATGAGAGTGTCGATGCAACACATCTTGCCGAGTTCCATCAAGTTGAGGGTGTAATTGCGGATGCAAATCTGACACTAGGTGGTCTGATGGAGGTGAGTTTTATCTTAACCTTGGTTGGGTTCTTGGATTTGATCCGTTGAGTATGTGCTGACTATAATAGTTTATGGACATCTTCTTTGGCAAGATGGGAATCACAGATCTCAAATACAAGCCGGCGTATAATCCTTGTGAGTTTTCTCCTGGAGAATCAACCTTTAACGGATCTCTTCTCCATTGGTCCCTGGCTCCTGCGAGACAAAAACTAACAGCACCAGACACTGAGCCTAGCATGGAGATCTTCTCATATCGTAAGTGATGCTATTACCAATCACTTCAATCTGTAGCTCTAACTTTGTTTGTTTGTAGACAAGGGCCTCGGCAAGCTCATCGAGATAGGAAACAGCGGAATGTTCCGGCCTGAGATGCTTGAGTCTATGGGATTTCCGTAAGTTCCACACTGTTTGAGCTATTACATCAAACTTAATATTCTGACTTTGAAACAGCAAGGACACGCGTGTTTACGGTTGGGGTCTTTCATTAGAACGGCCTACGATGATCAAGTATGGCATCTCAAATATTCGTGAATTATTGGGCCACAAAGTAGACTTGAATTTCGTGCAAAGCAGCCCTGCAGTGCGGTTAGACAAGGATTAAGGGAATAGAGAGTTGTTGAACGGAACTGGTTGCTAGAATAAGGCATGAGGAGAAGCAGAGCAATACGAGAAAAATTTCATGTAAATGAAGTCCATGCTACAGGACAAAGATATTCGACGAGGAAGACTAACAAGTGTTGTCTGTCATTGATGATTACCTTCAAATTGCGTGGCTTCCCGTATAGTTCCTAGTACCTAGCCAATATTCAATTACCAAACAGCCAAAACGAAATGAGAGACTAACACAAGTCTTGAAGACTAGGAGAGCTCGCCCCAGTAGATTAGTTACTAATGATTCCAGCAAGATGGATGATAACCCGCTTTTGGCTCCCGCGATTCTGGATTCTGCCTAGAACAAGAGCCACAAATACATCGTGTTAAAAACAGTGTAATACATGAATCGCTATTAGCTTAAAGACTTCATCAGCGGGGATAGCTTAGCTGGGAGAGCGTTAGACTGAAGTGAAATTTCATTCGTACATCTGAAGGTCGTGTGTTCGATCCACACTCACCGCATAAAAAAGAAGTAAAAAAAAAATGATTATTTATTTATTTTATTTATTTTATTTATTTTATTTATTTTATTTATTTTATTTATTTTATTTATTTTATTTATTTTATTTATTTTATTTATTTTAT